ATTGTTTACATCCTTCTCATGAGACTTGGGCTGTACACTATAATCATAGTCACACTGTTACCTTTACTATAATTGTTGTTACTCAGAGTTTTAAATATAATCATACTGCTCTGCTTAATGAAACCTTGCCTACTACATTATCCTTATGTCCTATTCCTGACGTGTCCAGAGGTGTTTCCCAATTAGAGTGGACTAGATGTAGAGGAAGTGGACCACGATTATTATTAGAGGTAAAAGGTAGGAATTACAGATACCTTGTCACTGACTGGAGTGTGCATGGGGATTTTCAGACTAAGTTTAGCCACATTAGCCTACGATGGCATAAAAATAATCACACCATTTATGCTGATGGTAACAAAACTATTATTTGGCATGATGGTGGCTTGTCGCCCCCTATGCCACATTTGGCCAACACCTCACAAATACAAAGTCATATATGGAAGTTACTAGCTGCTGGCAAACCAATGTCTACTTTTATGGGAAACATGTCCTTAAATACCACTAATCTTTCTAATCCTTTCCATATATCTTTACATCGAAACAGATCTAGATATGTCATTATTTGTGTTAAAAAACCTTACTTGTTGTTAGCAGGAATCTTTAAATGGGATAATACAGGAGTAGTTAACTGTACAGGCAATTGTACATTTTTAAGCTGTATAAATACTTCTTGGTGGCATAATAATTGGAATGAGACTCACTCCGATATATATATTTTAAGAGCTAGGAAAAAAAACAACAAAAACCTGGTTACCTGTGAACTTGACATGCACCTAGAGTAAATCTGCTGGGGTTATTCAAATTTACAAAGTAATGCAGGATCTTGTCCACCGCAGCTGGAGAGCGGTTGGGATTATCATAACAACAGTAGTGAGACTTGTGGCCATTGCTTCCACCGCCGCTGTTGTTGGACTGGCGTTACATCAGAGTATCCAAAATGCAGAGTTCGTATAACAGTGGCATGAACAATCTCACTTGTTGTGGCAACAACAACGAGACATTGATGCTCATTTGACTGAACAAGTAGATAACTTAAAACAAGTGGTTTCGGCCGGGCGCGGTGGCTCAAGCCTGTAATCCCAGCACTTTGGGAGGCCGAGACAGGCGGATCACGAGGTCAGGAGATCGAGACCATCCTGGCTAACACAGTGAAACCCCATCTCTACCAAAAAATACAAAAACTAGCCGGGCGAGGTGGCGGGCGCCTGTAGTCCCAGCTACTCGGGAGGCTGAGGCAGGAGAATGGCGTAAACCCGGGAGGCGGAGCTTGCAGTGAGCTGAGATCCGGCCACTGCACTCCACCCTGGGCGACAAAGCAAGACTCTGTCTCAAAAAAAAAAAAAAAAAAAAAAAAAAAAACAAGTGGTTTCTTGGATAGGGAATCAACTGACAGTGTTAAATACTCGAGCCTCGTTAAAATGTGACTGGAATACTACTTAATTTTGTATTACCCCTGTTCCTGTTAACACACTGTACATAATTGGACAAAGATAAAAAGGCTTTTAATTGGCCATAATAATCTTTCCCTGGAAATACAAAAACTAACACACAATATTTCTGAAACGTTTCATAATCAGTTACCATTGCTGACTGGCGCAGATTTAATGACTGGTATTGCGCAAAGCTTAAAATCTTTAAACCCTGTGGTCCTGTAAAAACTTTACTGACTTCTGTTTCTAGTAATATATTAACTGTTGTTTTTGCCTTTGTCATTTTCACAGTCTGCTAAAAACGGTGCCAAAGGGCAAACACCAAATCCCAGCGAGCCCAACATGTAATAATGGTTTTGAAAAAAATTCAAACCTGTAAATAAAGAAGGGGGAGATGTAGAGGACTGTGTGCTCGCAAACGAGATGTTCCCGATAAGCCCTGCTCTTGCAGACAACGCAGGACATTCCTTCTCTGCAAACAGGAAGGACAAAGGAGCCAGCTGCAAACAGCGGGCTCTGGGAACTGGTCAATGTTTACTGATCTTGCAAGTCAAGGAAAGGTCAGAGAAGCAACACATGCCCCGTGACTTGGCTACATTCCACAAATGGTTGTATAAAATAAAGCAGAGTGTGCCGTTCGGGGCGGCTGCCATGTATGTCTTGTCGTGTGTTGTCTTGTGCGTTCATTCCTTTGTGTAGGAAACACGCAGACCCCAACACTAACCTTTAGAAACCCCATCTAGTTATTTAGAGAGTTAGGCCACTGGCCTCAGCCAGGGCCCCACAGTTTGGGTCAAAACTTTACCTGCCATCTTTTCTCTCTCGGAAACATACGGTGTAAAAGGCTTTGTCAGATCAGGTAACCCCAGGGCTGGGGCCGACGTAAGATTTTCTTTTAACACATGAAAGGCCTGCTGTTGTTGGGATCCCCATTCAGAAGGCTCCTGGTCCTCCCTATTTGTGACTCCGTACAGAGGCTTGGCAAGTACTGCAAAGTTTGTGATCCACGGTCTGCAGAACCTCAGAGCTCCTAAGAATTCTTTCACCTGTTTTCTGGTTTTAGGGTTCAGTAGGTTGCAAAAGACCCGCTTTCTTTCTGATCCCAGGCTGCACTCCTGCTGTTGGATAGTAAATCCTAGGTAACATACCTGCTGTTAGCAGATCTGGGCTTGCCTCTTGGACACCTTATACCTACAGTCCTCCAGGGGCCAGAGTAGGGCATCCGTTCCCTTGGTGCACCCAACTGCCATGGGGTGTCCGAGCAGAATGTCGTCAATGTACTGGAGCAGCATGCAGCCTAGGCCTCTGGTGGGAAACTTCTGGAGGTCCCGAGCCAGTGCTTCCCCAAAGACGGTGGGGGAGTTCTTGAACCCTTGCAGAAGCAGGGTCTGAGTGGTGATACCTGACCCTAGATCTTCCTACTGAAAGGCAAAGAGCTTCTGGCTCTCAGGGGCTAGTCTAATGCTAAAGAAAGCATCTTTCAGGCCTAAGCGGGAGAACCAGCTGTCTTCAGCTGGCAGCAACCTTAACAACGTGTACGGGTTAGGTACTGTAGGATGTAAAGTCACTGTAGCTTGACTGACTAAGTGCAAGTCCTGTACCGGCCTATAGTCCTTGGTCCCTGGCTTGGGAACAGGCAGGAGGGGAGGGTTCCATGGAGACTGACAAGTGACTATAATTCTAAAGGCTCTCAGGCTCTTGAGATGGACCTGGATACTTTCAAGAGCTTCTCTGTGGACTGGGTACTGTTTTTGCCTGACTGGCTTGGCCCTACACTGAACTTTTATAAGTACGGGGGATTGGTTAACTGCCAACCCTAGAGGGTTGACTTCTGTTTACACCCTTGGCCACTGCTTAGCCAGAGTTGGTCTTATCTCTTGGCCTGGGTCAGTTAAGAAAAGTCTCCATTCCTTCTCCCAGGGGACCGTAAGGGCCATAATGACTCCCATTCCAGGTAACCTCAGCTGTAAAGAGCTGTGCTCTGTAAAAGAGATGGTGGCTCTCAGCTTGCTAAGCAAGTCCTTTCCTAGCAAGGGCAAGGAGTAGTCAGGCATGTACAAGAACTGGTGAATCACTTTATGTCCTCCTACAGTACAAGTCTGGGGCAAGCAAAAAGCTTGCTCTGCTGAAACTCCCATGACTCCGATTATATCAATAGTCTTTTTGGATAAGGGGGCAACTGAGGTGGTTACTACTGAATGTTCAGCACCGGTATTGATAAGAAAATCAATGTCTTTGCCCCTAACTGTCATCTTGACCATGGGCTCTTTGGGGGCACTTGAACCCGGTCCTCCTCAGTTCAATAACTCTTCTGCTATATTGCACAGGCCTCCTTCTGGGGCCTTCTGCTCTGGGCCACCTTGTTTTCCTTTTAGCTGAGGGCACTTGTCCTTCTAATATCCTTCTTATATCCTATTTCTTTACAATAAGCACACTGGTTGCGCTGCAAGCTCGGACGGCCAGGCTAGGTATCTTTCTGGGGCACATGCCTACCCGGGAGTGCTCTCAGAATCCATGTTGCTCAAGCTGGCTGGAGTACCCCACAGGGATGCTCCACAGGGCAGGCCTAAGGGGCTGCCTCGACCTTCTGTTAATCACCTCGCTTCCCAGTCAGGGAACCAAGAAATGTGGCATGATGAAACACAGACAATACCTCTCAGACTATGGGTTGAAGAAGAAAGTGGCTTTATTTGGCCCATAGCATTGGTGGACTCGTGTTTCAAGAACCGACCTCCCCAAAAAAGAAATTCCTGGCCCTTTTAAGGGCTTACAATTCTAAGGGGTCCACATGAAAGGGTCGTGATAGATCTAGCAAGCGTGGGGAACGTGACTGGGGGCTACAAGCATCAGCTAACAGAACAGAAAGTTTTGCAGTGCTTCTTCATACAATGTCTAGAGTTTACAAGTAACATAAGTAGTTTAGGTCAGGGGTTGATATTATTATTATTATTATTTTTAACCACTGGGGCTGGGTGGTGGCGCCAAGGTCGTCTGGCTATTTATCTTACTTCTGTTTCTTTCTGACTTTTTGCTTTCTTCATTTCCTCCTGTCTTATAAACCAGGCAAGGGGGAGGGAGGAGGGCAGCAGGAGAAGTGGTGGTCTCCTTCCTACCTCAGCCTCCAGAATAGCTGGGACCACAGCCGCGCGCCACCACACCACACTGATTTTTGTGTTCTTGGTAGAGACGGGCGTTCACCATGTTGCTCAGGCTGGTCTCCAACCCCAGGGCTCAAGGGATCCAGCCACATTGGCCTCTCAAAGTACTGGGATTACTGGCATTTTGTTCTATCAAAGATTGCTATTGTCATAGGATGGGACCCACACTCAATAATACTTACAGTGGCGCTGGTGGTCCTCGTCTGTGTCCAGCATTAAACATCAAGGCAGTTTCCTCCATGTTGACAGCTGAGATCAGCCTGTGATCCACAGGGAGGGGAGGGGGCTGCGCTCTGCATGGGGTTTGGTTAGGGCTAGATCTGTGGCCTGAAGATCTGTATCCTGCTGCACTGTGTGTGTGAACTTTTCCGGGGGGGGAGCAAGATCTGAAAGGTCAAAATTACCCTTGTAGGTCTTCCTGTGGAACTTTCTTATCTCTGCATGATCTCTGGTGCAGTGGGTAGCAGAGGACCACCTTTCTCTCAGGTGAGGTCTCCCCCGTGTGTGTGTTTTGTCACAGGAAAGGAGTGAATGGTTTCTAAATATTAAATCTCTTATTTTTTTTCACATACAGGATTTCCAAAGACTCATGTTACATGAGGAAGCCACCAAGAAGAGCAAAGAAAAGGATCCAGGATGGCTCTTCCTCAGGTGAGTGATACTCCTTGGTGGATTCTTCTATCTGCTTTCTGAAGTGCCAGGTATTGTAGTAGCCAGTCTTCTCTGAGTGTGAAGCGTTCTACCTCACAGGTTTGCTCGCACTCACCCATGCCTTTTCTCTGTTCCTCTCATCTTCACTTAAATTCTATCGCCTATAAACTAGTGACATGAGCTTGGGTAGAGGCTCCACTAGGCGTGGACCTGGGAAGGGCTCACACCAGACATGGATGGAGATGGGCTGTTGACCCCATGCTGTCAGTGATGTTGGGCAGCAGGGATTGTTCAGGGCCCATATCTGGATGCACATTTAGCTCTTTCTGGACCATATTAGAGAAACTGTATATGAAAGTCATACATCGACAGGTGCAGTGGCTCACGCCTGTAATCCCAGCACTTTGGGAGGCCTAGGAGGGCAGATCATGAGGTCAGCAGGTTGAGACCATCCTGGCTAACACGGTGAAACCCCATCTCTACTAAAAATACAAAAAAATTAGCCAGACGTGGTGGCGGGTGCCTGTCATCCCAGCTACTCAGGAGGCTGAGGCAGGAGAATGGCATGACCTTGGGAGGCAGATCTTGCAGTGAGCTGAGATCGTGCCACTGCACTCCAGCCTGGGCGACACAGTGAAACTTCCTCTCAAAAAAAAAAAAAAAAAAAAGTCATACATTAATGTTCATTGGTATCTGGTAAATTCTGGAAAAGGAGGCAAACTAGGGGGGATATTTTGTGTCTGATTTTGTAATGCATTTGAAGCTACACTAGTGAGTCAATATGTCTCTGACACCAAACTTTTGTTTTAAGAGAGAGGGTGTCACTCTGGGGCCCAGTCTGGAGTGCAATGGCACAATTCCAGTTTACAGCAGCCTCGAACTTCTGGGCTCAAGTGGTCCTCCCACCTGAGCCTCCCAAATTGCTGGGATTGCAGGTGTGAGACAGCCCAGCAAGACTCTGCACTTTCAATGTCTTGGAATAGAATGGAAAGCGGATATAGATATCAGTGATAGAGTTAGCTTTATTCCATCACTGACTTCAAATTATTTAATCAATATAAATATCTAACTGCAGGGAATTCTTTAAATCATTCTCAGCACTTTGACCCCACAGAGACTTTTTTTTTTTTTAACAGGGACTCTGATGAAGCAAGCATTTTGGGTAAAAATGATTATAAGTTTGCTGTGACATAACAGCACAACTTATGTTGTTAGAGAGGATGGAGTCATTCTTTTTCTACCCATTATTATTAATGGATTCTTTTATTTTATTTTATTATTTATTTATTTATTTTTTGAGACGGAGTCTCGCTCTGTCGCCCAGGCTGGAGTGCAGTGGCCGGATCTCAGCTCACTGCAACCTCTGCCTCCCGGATTTATGCCATTCTCCTGCCTCAGCCTCCCGAGTAGCTGGGACTACAGGCGCCTACCACCTTGCCCGGCTAGTTTTTTTGTATTTTTTTAGTAGAGATGGGGTTTCACTGTGTTAGCCAGGATGGTCTCGATCTCCTGACCTCGTGATCCACCCGTCTCGGCCTCCCAAAGTGCTGGGATTACAGGCTTGAGCCACCGCGCCTGGCTGATTCTTTTATTTTAAACACCACATGATGTATATATGTATTGTGTAGTAAAAGTCCAAAGAAAAATACACTTATGCATCCCCTTTCCGGTCCAGCCTTCCACCCATTCCCGTGTCTCAGTGGAGAATCACTGTTGAGGGTTCTGTGGCAAGTCAGCACAAACCTTTAGAAATGTATTCATACACCGTTATGAGATTTTAGAAAAAATTATTTGATGAATGGGTTTTTTTTTTTTTTTTTTTTTTTTTGCATATTTTTTGAGACAGGGCCTCACTCTGTCACCCACATGTAGTGTAGAGGCACATCGCAACCTCTGACTCTCAGGTTCAAATGAGTCTTATGCTTCAACCAACTAAGTAGCTGCAGTTACAGATGCATGCTACACTCCTGGCTAATTGTTGTGTCATTAGTACGGATGAGGTTTCACCATGTTGGCCAGGCTGGTCTCGAACTCTTGGCCTCAAGTGATCCTTCTGCTTCTGCCTCCCAAAGTTCTGGGATTTCAGGTGTGAACCCTGCTCCCAGCCTGATGAATGTTTTGTTATGGTATTTTGTCCTGCAAGTTCTGAAAATGTTCACGTTTCCAAGGTAGAAAACAAGATAGCTCGCTCTTTTAAATCATCCTTGGAGCTTTCTCTGAATGAAGACATGTGAGTCCTTGACAGTTTTGTTTCGTTTCTTTTTTGTTGTTGTTGTTTGTGTTTTTTTTGAGATAGAGTTTCATTCTTGTGGCCCAGGCTGGTGTGCAGTGGTATAGTATCGGCTCACTGCAACTTCCACCTCCCAGGTTCAAGTGATTTTCCTGCCACAGACTCCCAAGTAGCTGGGATTATAGGCATGTGCCACCATTCCCAGCTAACTTTATATTTTTACTAGAGACAGAATTTGTCCATATTCTTCAGGCTGGTATCAAATTCCCGACCTTAGGTTATCCACCCGCCTCAGCCTCCCAAAGTGCTGGGATTACAGGTGTGACCTACCGTGTGCAGCCAATCCCAAAGTTTATGTAGATAATACATAATTTGCAATACATATATATATATACACACACACACACACACACACACTTTTTTTTTTTTTTTTTTTGAGAAAGAGTCTCAGTCTGTTGCCCAGGCAGGATTGCCGTGGTGTGATCTTGGCTTACTGCAATCTCTGTCTCCAGAGTTCAAGCGATTCTCCTGCTTCAGCTTCCTAGATAGCTGGGATAACGGCACCTCCCTACAATGCCCAGCCAATTTTTTTATTTTTAGTAGATATGGAGTTTCGTCATGTTGGAGAGGTTAGTCTCAAACTCCTGACCTTAAGTGATCCACCCACCTCGGTCTCCCAAAGTGATAGGATTGCAGGTGTGAGCCACCATGCCTAGACTTATTTTATATATGTGTATATATGTGTAATATATATTTAATTATTTAATAATATATTTAATATATATTTATATAGAAAGACATATATAATATAGATATAAAATATGTATAGATATATATATTTTTATATTATATATATTTTTATATATATATATATATTTTTTGAGATGGAGTCTTACTCTGCAGCCCAAGCTGGAGGGCAATGGCACAATCTTGGCTCACTGCAAACTTTGCCTCTTGTTCTCAAGTTATTCTCCTGCATCAGCCTCCCAAGTAGCTGGGACTAGAGGTCTGCACCACCACATCTGGGTTCTTTTGGGGGGTTTTTTTTGTATTTTTAGTGGAGACAGTGTTTCACCATGTTGTCCTGGGTGGTCTTGAACTTCTCAGCTCAGGCGATCCACCCACCTCAGTCTCCCAAAGTGCTGGGATTTTAGGCATGGGCCACTGTGCCAGGCCATATATTTTTTAATATTGTCCATAAAACTGAGACTTCCACAGTGACTTAAGGGATTTTAAAAGCTATCCTGAAAAAGTACAATAAAATGGAACTATACAGAAAAATTGTTCAAAAATACCTTAATGTGAATTTGTCAGAACACAGTCTTGGATCAAATCAATACTTATTTTCTCTTTTCTCATTTCACGTGAGGGCGATAACATACTCCTTCACAATGTTTTGCTGAAATGTGTTTTTTATTTTAGGGACGCTTGACTTTCAGAGATGTGGCTATAGAGTTCTCTTTCATGGAGTGGAAATGCCTGAACCCTGCGCAGAGGGCTTTATACAGGGAAGTGATGTTGGAGAACTACAGGAACCTGGAGTTTGTGGGTGAGGAAAATGTCCCTTCAGACATGAGGAATCTGCTCTTGTCTATCTTGGCTCTTTCTGGTTTTATATGCTCTTTTGTGATTTTGCCCCATACATGCTTTTGATGTATATGTCATTGTTTTCTGCAGTGATGACCCTCCTATCTGTCATGGGTAGCTTCTTAGAGACTGTCCTGTGGAGTGGTTTTATATAAAAACAGAAAATTCATGAGCACTTTGACTAATATAGTTGAACATCATCCTGCTCTAGGAAGAGATGTCCTTGGAAGCCCTGAGCAGAATTGTCAGCATGGCCCAGGATACGAGATAGAAAGCATGACACTGACACTGATTGACAAGTGCTTCCAGCTGTGGTTCTGGTTTTGTTTTCTTTTTCTTTGTTTGTTTTCAGACAGTCTCCCTCTGTTGAACAGGCTGGAGTGCAGAGTCTCATCTCAGCTTATTGCAACTTCTGCCTCCTGAGTTCAAGCAATTCTTGCACCTCAGCCTCTCAACCTAACTGGAATTACAGGCATATTCCTTCATACCTGGATGATTTTTATATTTTTATTAGACAAAGGGTATCACCATGTTGATCAGGCTGGTCTTGAATTGCTGGCCTCAAGCAATTCGCTCACCTCAGCTTCGAAGTGTTGGGATTACAGGCGTGAGCCACCACACTTGGCCTTTTGTTCTGGTTTTTGAGAACCATCACAGAAGCATCTCTCACTGGCACTGTGACAGTGTCCATCACATAAACTAATGGTCATCTTCTGTAAGTAGCAGTCGCTGCTGTAGAAATTCCTCCTAGCGAGGAAATAATTCAGGCTTACTGCCTCATATATATGAGGCTCTTGACTGAACTCTTTTTTTTTTTTATTCTAAACAGAATTTTGCTCTTGTTGCCCAGGCTGGAGTGCAATGTCATGATCTCCACATGCTGCAACCTCTGCCTCCTGGGTTCAAGCAATTCTGCTGCCTCAGCCTCCTGAGTAGCTGGGATTACAGGCACCCACCACCATGCCTGGCTAATTTTTTTTTTTTTGAGACGGAGTCTTGCTCTGTCGCCCAGGCTGGAGTGCAGTGGCCAGATCTCAGCTCACTGCAAGCTCCGCCTCCCGGGTTCACGCCATTCTCCTGCCTCAGCCTCCCGAGTAGCTGGGACTACAGGCGCCCGCCACCTCGCCCGGCTAGTTTTTTGTATTTTTAGTAGAGACGGGGTTTCACCGTGTTAGCCAAGATGGTCTCGATCTCCTGACCTTGTGATCCGCCCATCTCGGCCTCCCAAAGTGCTGGGATTATAGGCTTGAGCCACCGCGCCCGGCCGCCTGGCTAATTTTTTTATGTTCAGTTGAGACAAGGTGTTCTTAAACTTTGAAGATCACATTTGGGAAGTTTAAAATAAGTATTGCTTTTTGTGTAATTTTTACACATTTCAATATTAACTATTATTTACCATCTGTACTTAATTGGAAAACTATTGGTCTTTATATTTTTTAGATAGCTCATTAAAATCCATGATGGAGTTCTCATCACATGAGCACAGTAATACAGGAGAAGGGTTCTACACAGGGACATTGGAAAGACATAAAAGTTATCACATTGGAGATTTTTGCTTCCCAGAAATCAAGATAGATATTCATCACTTTGAGTTTCAGTGGCAAGAAGTTGAAAGAAATGGCCATGAAACACCTGTGATAGAAAATAAAGAGTTGACTGGTAGTACAGACCGACATACTCAAAGGCATGCTGGAAATAAGCCTATTAAAGATCAGCTTGGATCAAGCTTTCATTCGCATCTGCCTAAACTGCGCATATTTCAGACACAAGGGAAAATTAGCAACCAAGTGGACAAGTCTGTCAGTGGTGCTTCCTCAGCTTCAACATCCCAGAGAATTTCTGGTAGGCTCAAAACTCTTATTTCTAATAAGTATGGGAAGAATTTCCTCCATTCCTCATTATCCACACAAATACAGGAAACACGCATGAGAGAAAAACCTTGCCAATATAATGGGTGTGGCAAAGCTTTTAATTATAGCTCACTCTTAATGAGACATCACATAACCCATTCAAGAGAGAAACAATATAAATATGATGTCTGTGGCAAGATCTTTAATCAGAAGCAATACCTTGCATGTCATCGTAGGTGTCACACTGGTGGGAAAACTTACAAGTGTAATGAGTGTGGGAAGACCTTCACTCAGATGTCATCCCTTGTAGGCCATCGTAGACTTCATACTGGAGAGAAACCTTACAAGTGTAATGAGTGTGGCAAGACCTTTGGTCAACATTCAGCCCTTGTAATTCATAAGGCAAATCTTACTGGAGAGAAACCTTTCAAGTGTAGTGAATGTGGCAAGACCTTCAGTCAGAAGTCATCCCTTCAGTGCCATCATAGACTTCACACTGGAGAGAAACCTTACAAATCTGAAGAATGTGGCAAGGTTTACATTCACAGATCACACCTTGAAAGACATAGGAGAATTCATACTGGAAAGGGATCATACAAATGTAAGGTTTGTGACAAGGTTTTCCGGAGTGATTCACACCTTGCAGAACATCAGAGAGTTCATACTGGAGAGAAACCGTACAAGTGTAATGAATGTGGCAGGAGTTTCAGTCGGAAGTCATCCCTTCAATACCATCATACACTTCATACTGGAGAGAAACCTTACACATGTAATGAATGTGGCAAGGTTTTTAGTAGAACAGAAAACCTTGCACATCATCATAGACTTCATACTGGAGAGAAACCTTACAAATGTGAAGAATGTGACAAAGTTTTCAGTCGCAAATCACACCTTGAAAGACATAGGAGAATTCACACTGGAAAAACCACTACAAATGTCAGGTTTGCGACTGGGAAACTCCCAGATGCTGATTCATGCCTTGCAAACCATATGAGAGTTCATACTGGAGAGAAACCTTACAAATGTAAAGAATGTGACAGAGTTTTCAGTCGCAAATCACACCTTGAAAGACATAGGAGAATTCACACTGGAGAAAAACCATACAAATGTCAGGTTTTGCGACAGAACTCGGAGTGATTCATGCCTTGCAAACCATATGAGAGTTCATGGAGAGAAACCTTACAAGTGTAATGAATGTGGCGGAGTTTTTTAGTAAAAGTGCCTTGCAAACCATATGAGAGTTCATACTGGAGAGAAACCTTACAAGTGTAATGAATGTGGCAAGGTTTTTAATCAAAAAGCAAACCTTGCACAACATCAGAGAGTTCATACTGGAGAGAAACCTTACAAGTGTAATGAATGTGACAGAGCCTTTAGTGGGAAGTCAACACTTATTCACCATCAAGCCATCCATGGTGTAGGGAAACTTTACAAATATAATGATTCTCACAAAGTCCTCAATAATGCTACAGTCATTGCAAATCATTAGAGAATCCATAATGAAGTGAGATCTACAAATGTAATAAATGTGGAAAATTTTTCAGACATCGTTCATAACTTGTAGTTCATCAGCAAATCCATGATGTAGACATCAGAGAATCCATACTGGACAGAAATCTTACCAATGTCATAAGGGTGGCAAGGTCTTCAATCTGTGGTCATTCCATGCAGAACATCAGAAAATTCATTTTTGAGATAATTATTCCAAATAAAATGAATATAAAAAATCATAAAGCTTTAATTGACATTAGAGTCAATTCAACTTTGACTTGAGTTTGAGTTGACTTAACATTGAGTTCAAGCATTAATTGACATAAAAAGTGTTAATGTTAAGAAGAATGGGTCAGGCGCAGTGGCTCATGCCTGTTATCCCAGCACTTTGGGAGACCAAGGCAGGTAGATCACTTGAGGTCAGCAGTTTGAGACCAGCCTGGCCAATAGACTTGAGCCACTTTACCCAGCCTGTTTTTTATTTTTATCTTTATTTTTTGAGATGGAGTCTTGCTCTTATCCCCCAGGCTGTAATGCAATGACATGATCTCGGCTCACTGGAACCTCCTCCTCCTGCGTTCAAGCAATTTTCCTGCCTCAGCCTCCTGGGTATCTGTGAATAGTGATGCATGCCACCACACCACGCTAATTTTTGTATTTTTATTTATTTTTATTTTATTTTATTTTATTTTTTTGTTTGGAGATGGAGTCTTGCTCTTGTCACCCAGGCTGGAGTGCAGTGGTGTGATCTCGGCTCATTGCAATTTTTGCCTCTTGGGTTCAAGCAATTCTCCTTCCTACCTCAGCCTTTTGAGTAGCTGGAATTACAGGTGACCGCCACCATGCCTGGCTAATTTTTGTGTTTTTAGTAGAGAGGGGGTTTCTCCATGTTGGTCAGGCTGATCTTGAACTCCTAACCTCAGCTGATCCACCTGCCTCATCCTCCCAAAATGGTGGAATTACAGGCATGAGCCACTGCAACTGGCCCTTTTAAAATTTTATTTATTTATTTATTTTTGAGCCTATTTTGCAGCCTTTACAAAAATCAGGGTTTTCCCACAAGATCATGAAGATTTTCACTTAAGGGACCTCTGACCATTTGTGTTGGCGTTGGCAGTAAAGGTCAAGCAGGAATATGGTAATAACACTCATGCTCCCCACCTTTGGCCATGTTCCTGCCTTTCTAGTTTATATTTTGACGAAACCCAGCTACTCCCGAGGCTGAGGCAAGAGAATTACTTGCACCCGGGAGGCGGAAGTTGCAGTGAGCCAAGATCGCACCATTGCATTCCAGCCTGGGAACAAAGAAAGAAACTTAGTCTGAAAAAAAGAAAAAGTCAAGCCCCTTCTCCTCTCTCCGTCATCATAGTGTGTGCTTGATTTCACTTCTTGCCATGTCTTCTCACAAGACTTTCAGAATTAAGTGAGTCCTGGCCAAGAAACAATAGCAAAATTGTTCCATTCCCCAGTGGATTCGCATAAAAACTGCTAATAAGGTCACAGTCACGTTACCATATCAAGCTGAAAATGTCATCCCTATCTGAAGAGTTGGATATGTTTTATTGGGAATATATTTTTTAATCTCTGAATCTGTTATGAGTGCATTGGTTGGCTGGGTTTGGTAATATGTGAAACATTTTATTAAAGTCAGGGCCGGGTGCGGTGGCTCAAGCCTGTAATCCCAGCACTTTGGGAGGCCGAGACGGGCGGATCACGAGGTCAGGAGATCGAGACCATCCTGGCTAACACGGTGAAACCCCGTCTCTACTAAAAACACAAAAAACTAGCCGGGCGAGGTGGCGGGCGCCTGTAGTCCCAGCTACTCGGGAGGCTGAGGCAGGAGAATGGCGGGAACCCGGGAGGCGGAGCTTGCAGTGAGCTGAGATCCGGCCACTGCAGTGCAGCCCGGGATACAGAGCAAGACTCCGTCTCAAAAAAAAAAAAAAAAAAAAAAAAAAAAAAAAAAGGCGCGGTGGCTGCGCCTGTAATCAAAAAAAAAAAAAAAAAAAAAAAAAAAAAAAAGGCGCGGTGACTCACGCCTGTAATCCTAGCACTTTGGGAGGCTGGGGCAGGTGGATCCCAAGGTCTGGAGATCGAGACCATCCTGGCTAACACGGTGAAACCCCCTCTCTACTAAAAATGCAAAAAATTAGCCGGTCGTGGTGGAGGTCGCCTGTGGTCCCAGCTATTCAAGAGGCTGAGGCAGGAGAATGGCGTGAGCCCGGGAGGCGGAGCATGCAGTGAGCCGAGATCGCTCCACCGCACTCCAGCCTGAGCTACAGAGCGAGACTCCATCTCAAACAAAGAAGGTAATACACATCCCGACGCACCCAAATTCCTAGTGTGGCTGGACTGGGGGCTAGGGTGCTACGAAAGGCAGGTTTGAAACAGAAACAAACGCTCACCTGAGTCAGTCCTGGGCGCTCCGTGCAGAACAACCATGGGCTGGTAGTGGATCCTGTCTGGGAGGGTTCTGGACACCAAGCCGGGACAGGGCAGGAGGGGAAAATGTTGCTGAGGGGCCGGGGCCTGAACAGATGCTGGGGCGGGGAGAGAGAGTGGAGGCCACTGTGGGTACGGGGCCTGGTTAGAGGCTGGGGATGGGGCAAGAAGGAGGAGGTTGCCAGGGTGCTGGGCCGGTCCAGGCCGGACAGCGGGCTAGGCTAGAGGGTTATCGCCGTCAAAGGGGAGGGCTCTGGAAGGTGGGTGGTTATAAAGGGCCAGGCCTGGAGGAGGCGGGTTCGGGCTTTCTCCTCAGGTGGGCCATGGACTTCGCCAGCTGTCATCCTCTCCCTCTAGGACCGGATCCTCCGGGTTCTGATTGGTGGATTCATTCTCTTGTGCCGTGATGCTACCCCTAATATCACATGGATGCTTCCTGCCCGTTTTAACATTTCAAACAATGGAAGGTAAAACTACTTATGTAGTAGACCACGTGTACTGAACGCTGAATGCTTTTTCCTCTTAAATTGAAAATGGTTTTAATGCAAAGCGCCTTTTTTGAGCAGGTAGAGTCGCGCATCCTGCAGGTGGGGCGAACTCCCCTCAGTCTGGGGCAGGGCAGGGAAGAGGTGAAAGGACCTCGCTAAAGGGGTGGAGTGGGGCGCTGGTTGCAGCGAGGACTGACAGAACGGCTTATTAAACTAAGCAAGGTCCTGGGTTGTTTAAGTGAATAATGGAAACTGAAAGGTGACATGCAAAACTGCCTATTACACCCAGGAGGTGGAGGATAATTTCATATTTCGTGGAAATAAAGTCAGGGCCCGGAGCTGTGGCTCACACCTGTAATCCCAGCAATTTGAGAGGCCAAGGCGGGAGGATCACTTGAACCCAGGAGTTCGAGATCAGCCTGGGCAACGTAGTGAGACGTCGTCTCTATTAAAAATCAAAAAATGCGTCAGGTGTGGTGGTGCACGCCTGTGGTCCCAGCTGCTTGGGGCGCTGAGGTGGGAGGATCACGTGAACCAGGGATTTCACAGCTGCAGTGAGCTCTAATCTCTCCACCACACTCCAGCCTGAGTGACAGAGCTAGACCCTGTCTCAAACAAAGAAGGAAATAAATGAGAGGTATAATTTGCTTTGAAAATTAAAAAAACTTTTTTTTTTGTCTCTTTCCTTAGGACTTTTATTTAGAAAATTTGTAAATACATTTTCTCTGTCTTCTGTGTAGGGAAAAGAAAGAGAGATCAGACTGTTGCTATGTCTATGTAGAAAAAGGAAGACATGGCCAGGTGCAGTGGCTCACGCCTGTAATCCCAGCACTTTGGGAGGCCAAGGCGGGTGGATCACGAGGTCAGAAGATCGAGACCATCCTGGCAAACATGGTGAAACCCTGTCTCTACTAAAAATACAAAAAAAAAAAAAAAAAAAAAATTAGCCGGGTGTGGTGGTGGGCGCCTGTAGTCCCAGCTTCTTGGGAAGCTGAGGCAGGAGAATGGCGTGAACCCGGGAGGCGGCGGAGCTTGCAGTGAGCAGATTGCGCCACTGCACTCCAGCCTGGGCGACAGAGCGAGACTCCATCTCAAAAAAGAAAAAAAGAAAAAAGGAAGACATAAGAAACTCCATTTTGATCTGTACTAAGAAAAATTCTTCTGCTTTGAGATACTATTAACCTGTAATCTTAGCCCCAACCCTGTGCTCACAGAAGCATGTGCTGTATTGACTCAAGGTTTAATGGATTTAAGGCTGTGCAGGATGTGTTTTGTTAAATATGTGTTTGTAGGCAGTATTCTTGGTAAAAGTAATTGCCATTCTCCATTCTCGGTTATCCAGGGATACAATGCACTGCGGAAGGCCACAGGGACTTCTGCCCAAGAAAGCCTGGGTATTGTCCAGGTTTCCCCCCGACTGAGACAGCCTGAGATATGGCCTTGTGGGAAGGGAAAGACCTTACAGTCCCCCAGCCTGACACCCGTAAACAGTCTGTATTGAGGAGAATTAGTGTAAGATAAAGGCCTCTTTGCAGTTGACATAGGAGGAAAGCATCTGTCTCCTGCTCTTACCTGGGAATAGAATGTCTCCATGTAAAACCCAATCATACGTTCTATTTACTGAGATAGGAGAAAACCTCCTTATGGCTGGAGGTGAGACATGATGGTGGCAATACTGCTCTTGACTGCACTGAGATGATTGTGTAAAGTCAAACATAAATCTGGCCTACATGCACATCCAGGCACAGCACCTTTCCTTAAACTTATTTATGACCCAGAGTCCTTTGCTCACACGTTTTCTTGCTGACCCTCTCCCCACCATTACCCTATAGTCCTGCCACATTCCCCTCTCCGAGATAGTAGAGATAGTGATCAGTAAACACTGAGGGAACTCAGAGAGCAGTGCTGGCGCGGGTCCTCCGTATGCTGAGCGCGGTACCCTGGGCCCACTTTTCTTCCTCTATACTTTGTCTCCATGTCTTATTTCTTTTCTCAGTCTCTCATCTCCACCTTGCGAGAAATACCCACAGGTGTGGTGGGGCAGGCCTCCTTCACTTCTGAAGTTTTTTTTTTTTTTTTTTTTTTTTGAGACAGAGTTTTGCTCTTGTTGTCGGTGCTGGAGTG